ACTTGTAATAGCAGAAAATGTCAGGCCGTCCTCAACTGAGGTAGTTCCCGCATACACGATTTCACGAGGCAAATGGTGATCGGACTGTAAAGGGCAGGTTGGTCCATACGTCAAATCACAGATAATATACATCTGGGTACGTTCACGGTGCACCGATTGTGGAGAATATGGTTGAAAAATGAAATTAGGCAATTTTTATATGAATACTAGTGCAGCCAGAGTAACCTCAAAAGGCAAGCATCAATGGAATCAAGATAAAAAAAAGTGATCAAATAGCAGCATAAAAAAATTAGAACATATAGGTATGTCAAATCTAAATAAACTAAATCCATATACACTGGCCCGCAAAATTAAAGGAACAGCATTTTTTTCCATCTCAAATTTTATCGAACATTTATCAATGAAATTTTATATACAAATTTATCATTTCATTATTGATTAAAATAACCGAAATCAAAGAAATCGAAAACGTATTTTATGCAAATTAGCCGGTCAAACATTCATCTTCTTGCAGTCAGTGTATAAATATCTTGGAAATTGTTGTTAATATGAGGTGTGATCGCCTTTAACTGATAGACAGGCTCTACATCGGCGACCCATACTAAGAATTAGGGAGTTTATAAGCTCCTGTGGAATCAACGCCCACTCTTTTTTTAAAGTGTGTTTCTAGTTCATGAGTGTTTCTAGGACGGGGTTGAAGGGATGAGATCCGTCGTCCTAGATTGTTCTATACATGCTCAATGGGATTTAGGTCTGGAGATCGGGCTGGCCAATTCACCCGTGAAATTGCATGGTTTTGGAGAAAAGTTTCCACCACATCAGCCCTATGTGGACGGGCATTATTATCCATTAGAAGAAAGTTTTCTCCCATTTCAACTGACACAATACGCAGAAGGCTTCACATGGAGGGCCTCTATGCTCGACGACCCATAATTTGTGTGCCGTTGACACCACCTCAAAAGAGAGCAAGGGAACTTTGGCGCAGACAACATGTCGTTTGGAATCCAGATGAATGGAGCCATGTAATGTTCACTGATGAGTCCAGATTCTCTCTAAACAGCTATTATCGTCGTGTCTTTGTCTGGAGAGAGGTAGGAACCAGAAATAATCCCCGAAATATGGTTGAAACGGATCCCTACAGAAGCCAATGTTTTATGGTCTGGGCTGGAATCTTCTTGGGCGGTCACACAGCACTCCACATTTTACGGCAAGGAACCCTGACTGGACAGAGGTATCGGGACGAGATCTTGGCAGCATATGTGATGCCTCAATCATTATAAATGGTAGAAAACCTTCTTATAATGGATGATAATGCCCGTCCACATAGGGCTGGTGTGGTCGACACTTTTCTCCAAAACCATGCAATTGCTCGGATAAATTGGCCAGCTTGATCCCCAGACCTAAATCCCATTGAGCATGTATGGGACAACCTAGGACGGCGGATCTCAACCCTCCAATCCCCTCCTAGAAACACTCATGAGCTAGAAACAGCCTTAACACAAGAGTGGGCGTTGATTCCACAGGAGCTGATAAACTCCCTAATTCTTAGTATGGGTCACCGAAGTAGAGCCTGTCTATCAGTTAAAGGGAATCACACGCCATATTAACAACAATATCCAAGATAGTTATGCACTGACTGCAAGAAGATCATTGCTTGACCGGCTAATTTGCATAAAATACGTGTCAGAATTCTTTGATTTCGGGTATTCTAATCGAAAGTGGAATAATAAATTTGTGTATAAAATTTCATTGATAAATGTTCAATAAAATTTGAGATAAATGAAAAAATATGTTGTTCCTTTAATTTTGCGGACCAGTGTATTTGAAGGCCGAAATATTAAAGATATATAATATGTACTGATGTTTGCATCAAGGAAAACCATGTAATAAAACTATTCAGAGATTTAGAACACAACAAATCCTGCCTGGAATAATTCACATTGACATGTTGCCCATTTGATTCAATAGCATATAACAGCAATAAATAACAACCTACCTTGAATAATTCTTAAAATTAAAGAAAATTCGGCCATCAAATCTTTTACTGGTTTACTAAAGGTTTACTGGCCGAAGTACATTCAATTTGAAGAACTATGAATGACGTCGAGGTAGCCTCAATCTTTACGATTACCTTGATGTATAATTTTATATATATTTTAAAATAATATTTTACATACTTAATATGTATATGATTTTAGAAATTTGCCAATATGGCAAATTTTCTTAGCAAATATGGTAAAAATTGTTCAATATCTAAAAAATACATTATAGATAAATGAGGAAATAAATGAATGAAGGAATAGCAGCAAAAACAAATGAAATATTAAGATTTTAATTTGATATTTTTTTACAATTTTTAAGAAGAGACTCTCTTTATAACTCAAGAAGGTGAACATTTTATTCGTCTTCGGCGACAGGTTCAGCGGTCGGTGGCTCAGTGTCTGGCTCATCGGTGACGCTGCCATCGGGGACACAGATGTGCTGGGCCAGCTGCTCAACCCAGATTCCGTTGGAAAAAAATAGAAAACATCCAGATATGTATATTAAATCTGAATTCTCAATCTTAATATTAAACAATATTAGTCCATCGCACATGAAACAGAAGAATTAGCGAATTTGTTCATACAAATAAAATACCAGGCTGCAAAAAAAGTTTGTTCCCAAAGCAAAATCCCAATATGAAATCAAATTATTTAAATATATATAGGAATATATAGCAATAACCCGCCATATATATATAACAAATGATAACATTAATACACAAATGTATCTATTCACAAATAAATCAAACTTCTACCGCCCTCACTGCGATGAAAAAATATTGAATGGGCTTAGCCCATCAGTAATGAACCCTCCCAGCGGTTTCTCTAATTTTTTTAATCTACCAGACCGCTTCTTTAGAGCTCTAATACTGTATTACATAATTCTTTCATCGCAGTAAGGACAGTAGAAGTTTGATTAATTCGTGAAAAGATACATTTGCGTATTAATGTTTTCACACACACACATTAGGAATATAAATGAAGTTTGAATAGCTAAAGGCAATGAGTGTGCCCACATTACTGAAATAATTTAATAGGGTTTGGAATAACATTTTAATATTATAGTAGAGAGCTAAATAATATGTGATAAAAAATAATGATCCGAGTACTATTGGGCTTCTTTTGGAAAAAAGGGGCTATATGACATGGTATCATGTTTTAAGTTTTCTCTATATTACTAGGCACGAAGACCCTGGCTTGGCTATGAATTTTACCGAATGAATATTCGTCAAAATTGTCTTAACCAGCAAAGGCATTGATACTTGTATTAATAAAATTGCAGCAGTATAAAAATGGTAAAAATAGAATAGGTGAGAGATCGTGAGCGCGCAGTGTGATCGAAAGGCCTTTGGTTAACAAACGTTTTAAGTTTAATTCTATTTTCGAATGATCTATTTTTCTTATATTTTTACATAACCCTATTTATCCATATATATATGGATATATATATGTGTGTGTGTATGTGTGAAAAAAATAGAAAAAATAATAAATAGGTCAGGTGTTGATATTAAAAATAAAGAAAGCATATCCTGACCAGGAGGACATGTGCTCTTGGTCAGAATATGCCTCCTTTATTTTTAATATATATTCCCTTCATATTTAATTCTTAAACTTCAATGAAATGATCCTTTTTTATAAGCTGTTTCAACTATTCCCTCCTCTTTTTTCTTCTCGGCTACAATGTAATACAGAAAATAAATCACAATATTCAAAATTCATGTGAAACTGAGTCTGTAGAATAATAAATGGTTAATGTAATCTGCTTCTTGATTTTGGAAAGCAAACTTTTCCAGACATTAGTTGTCCCTCCACCGCCTATCTATGTTGCTAAAGAGTTGCTACATATTAAATCACTTTAGGTTCGGAATTCATGATGATCGTCCCCCGCCGCTTTTATTTTCACTCAGATACATCTAATTGCTCAATGACAGAAGATGAAATATTTTATTTTTTCAATTTTAGTGCATTTAAATAAAAGCTATTTTAATGTAATTTTATTTATTAATTATTTATATTCTGAATATTCGAGATGTTAAATTCAAATTGTGAGTGTATAGAATTGTAATAAACACATGTGTCTTCGAATGTTGCTGATTGTATGTAAATAAGTTAAGCTTCTTGAATGCTTACCGAACATTTGAATCCTGGTGCACATGGGCATCCTAGGAACCTGAAACATTTCTCTCCTACAACACACACATGGACAATGTGAGAAACAACATATGGCAGAGAGATCATAAGATGTGTAGCAACATAAGATTATAGTAGACTGAACATGTAGAGCCATCTATAGGTTGATAATGGTATTATCCAGCGCTATTTATTTTTATGATATAGGACGGATATATAAACACTCACAAATCTCGTGTGTATTCGATAAGGTCACAGTGTATGAATGTTCATATATATGCTTTTTGTTAAATGATCCCTAGTACCCGTGGTACAAGCCATGATAATCATGGTGGGTAGAAGTTGGCGACTGCTTTTACTGTAAATGTACCACATGTCTACACATGTGAAAAGCAGCTCGACCTTGCACTTACAAGTAAACCAGAACACCGTTTGGTTACTTACACTCGCTGGTGGGGTTGGACTTCGCAAAAATTGGGGGTCATTGGAAATTTTCTTTCATTAGAAAAAATTTCCAATGCATGATTCGATATCGGATCTTAGCGGTCAAAACCCAACGGTTTAGACCACCTTTCTACCGACCCCCCATATATATGATAAAAGGTACAACTTCTTTAAGTTTTGTCAATGAGTATAATTATTGAACTGAGTGTAAAGGATTGAGGTACCCTAGCTCTCAGCGATGACGCCAATTGAATCCACCAGATCAATGGATAATATGAGATAACAGATCTATAATTATTTTTATATAATAATATATTCTCCTGCTCTCGTTTCATATGCATATTAACGTCATATTTTTTAACTTTAGAACCATAAAAAAAAAATTGCATCAGCGGAATCAAAACCTGGGCCACCCGCGTGGCAGGCGGGCATTCTACCACTGTACCACCGATACTTTAGAAGTAGTTCGACTGTATTCATATATCAAATAGCCAACTGAACTCTGAAACATTTCTATGTACAGATTCTGAAGGAGCTGAGTAGAGCCTTTTACCCACCACCGATTAAAAAATCGATAATTTCTGCACTAAAACATTTTCTAATTGAAATAAATGTTCTACTATTTCTACTTATAATGAGAAATATATTGAGAGAATCCGACTCATAGATAGTGAACCCTCTCAATTTTTTTCTAATCATATCTATAATATATTAATATTATAGCAAAAGCAAAACCCATTACAAAAACCATAATACCCCAGCCCATATGCAACCTCAACATTGACAGAGAATTAACAACGGCAATTTCGAGAATCAGAACAGGACATTTTAAAGGAATGAAGATAAACCCAGACATGGCTAGATCCTATAGGAACTGCAATAACTGTCACAACACCCAACTCACTCCGGACCATATATACAGTTGACAGACATCAATCCAGAAAAGGACATCCATACGGACAAGGTACCTTTGTTGGCCTGTATAGTGATCAGGGTGCACGGACCTATCTGATCTGCTCCATGGACAAGACAACACCACCACCATATTTTCATATCAAATCTCCAGAAAATAATCTATTAATCATAGAATAGTTAATATATCTAAGTCATTATCTCCTGTACGTAACTTTCATGGCTTAATATACTTTGATGTAGATAAGGCTGAATAATAAAATGCACTATCTTCCATCACTATTGTAGTTATATTTTGCCCCATATAACGGTTTAGTAGTTCAAACTGGCCGTTGGAGGTGTTTACTATAAATGTATCAGATATTTATAATTTATTTTTCACATTGCATGCAAGGTAACACTGTGTGAATAATATTAAATTTGATAGATTTAAATATTGAATCAATAAGTGTCCACTGATATGTCATATTGCACCAGAGGTTGCTGCAGGCCAAGTCCATCAACTTCAATACTGACCTGACTTAGGCTTAGCGTAGCATTGTTTGACAATGGACATTTTTCTGGCACAGCATTCTTCCTTCCCGCATTCCCTATCTTCATAGCAGTCCTGGACAAATCATACAATATGCAAATCTGGTCGGTACAACAAGTAAATATGGCCTATATGAATTCTAAATATGGTCGGAACAATAAATATGGTTGCTACACAACATGAAAATATGGTTCAAATATGTTCGGTAAAAGGTTTCAAAAATGGTCGATATACTTTTAAAATATGATAGGAACAATATGCAAATATGGTTGGTACAACGTATAAATATGATCGGTAAAACGTGCAAACATGATCGGTAAGACGTGCAAATATCGTCGATACAACGTGCAAATATGGTCGCTATAAGATATAAATTTGGTTTTGTTGGGTGTATCGTAATTATTACTCTTTTAGAATTAAGATCTTCTTGAAGGTAGAAACTGAATAATTTGAATGAATATAAATTTCTAAATAAATTTGAGTTAACATAACTGGGAAAATAACTTATCTCTCTAACAATAACTATCTATATGAATTACCTCACATACCTCAAAAATCTATATTAGCTTATATATATACATGCCTAATACCACAGATTATTATATTCAAAGAATAAAAATTAATATTTGAATGATATAATATCAAACAGGTACAACGTCCTTACATGGACGGTATAACACGCAAATATGGTCGGTATAAGATGTAAATATGGTCGGTACAATGTGCTTATATGGACAATAGAACATGCAAATATAGTCGGTAAACGACGCCAATATGGTCTATTCAAAGTGTATGAATATCCGGTATATCTATAAAATATGGTCAATACCAGATTTGGTGAATTCGAAACAGCAGCCTTAATTTCAAAAAAAAAAAATCTTATCAACCCTCATACAGTTATATTGGCGAACGCTATTTTCAAGCCGAAAATAGAGTAGGGTAATTGACTGGGGATAAAACAAAAATTTGAAATTGAAGCACACAAAATGACTAGTTAAACCTGAAAAATGCCCTTTATTTTAAAAAATAATAATATCCGGAAAAAATGTACCCAGGTTTAAATTCACCTCATATTTATTGTTAGCTCAACCTAACACACACCCCTATATATAAAATAAAACACATAATTATAGAGTGTGTGATTTTCTACTCTGCGTTTTCGAGAATTTGGTTTAACAAAGAAAACAGCTAAAGGCCTTAATTAAATGTAGACGAAATTGCTCAGAGTTGTTTTTTATCATTTGAGATGGTGAACACAAAGACCCCCCTATATATACACATATATTTAACTCTATAAACTCCATTAAAAAAAAGTAAAGCAAGATCGGCTCAACATAGACAATGAGATAATATTAAGTTTTTTAATATTATTTTGTTGATATTCTGAGATTTTGTTTTCAACTTAGCAACCTTCTTGCGTCGACTTCTATGGTAGTGCACTCAAACACAACTTGGAGTGGTCCTGGTAAGTGAGTTACTTTTATAAATGATGAAAATTCTAATATATTTAAATAACATGGAATAATTTAAACTTTTTTCCTACTGAATAAAGACAGTTATAATCTTCTCGGTATTATTTATGCGATAAAAGGGAATAAAAGAAGAAAAGTTTCTTTATTAGACAATTATAACGGTGCGAGCTTTCGGGCAAAAATACCCTTCTACAGGCGTGGTAGACGTGACACTATAACGTAGGTAATGTGGCTAGAAAGAGAGTATATACACATGATTATTTACATATTAGCGGAATGTGCTATGCAAATGGGGATTTTTCATTTGTTATGAATATTGTAATTAAAGAGATAGTATGCAAATAGGGCATTTGTATATTTGGAGTTTGAGTCTATAGAGGAATATGTTAACGTAAATTATAGGATATGCGATATTTCGAAGAATTTTAGGAAATGTTGATATCAGGCTATCGTGTTATGGTTATTACTGCAAGGCCAGGAGAGCACGATAGGCATCAGGAAGATCTATTTTACGGTTGATGCTGTTATGTCTGTGGGATTCTATGGATTCGAGAACTAGTCGCTGGTGCTGGTTATGAATGCGTCTGTAATGTATGGTGGGGTGGTTGGTGTTGAATGTATGGCCAGTATTGAGTGTGTGCTGGTAAAGGAGGGACCTGGTGTCTTGGTTGGAGATGTTTCTAGAATGCTCAGACATTCTGATGGCGACGGATCTACCTGTCTCGCCAACGTATGTGGCAGAGCATTGCTCACACGAGACAGAGTAGACCGCGCCAACAGAATGGAGGGGATCAGGGGGGGCATGCGATTTAGTATATGGGTGACGGAGGGATGTGAGCAGGTTGGAGGAGTTTTTATATAAGGTGCGGATACCGTATGCTTTAAGGCTTCTGGCTATGTCGGCTGAGGAGGGGGAGTAGGGAAGGAAACATAATGATCTGTAAATTTTAGGTTGGTTGGAGGGGCCAGGTGTATATGAATGTCTATTGATGAATTCAAGCGGAAACGATGCTATGGAGAGGTGCGATATGATGAGATTTTTCTCAATTTCTTTAAATATATCGAGCGAACAGTGGGTATAGATTCCTACTATTGAATTATAGAAATGTTCAAGATGAACACAGAAATGTATTTATGTAAGGGTATACTCTAGTTAGAGGTTGACAGAATGCATTATTGTACAGTGTTGATAAGTTTATCACTTACCTTCGCTGCGACATACGTCACCAGAACAAGCAAACAGACAAAGACCTTCATGATTGACAGTTTTGACTTACTGTGGGGACAACTCTGTGACATTTATATCCTGGAGTTGCTGGGAATGTGACAGGTGTCGCCGTGTCTTATCCACACTATCTCGTCTTTATCTTCCCTTCCGTCTTGGTAAGGAAAGTTTTCCATGGCTTCTTTATGTAATGGTAAAAGCAGACGCGTCTGTGGCCATCTTGGTTGGTCACTGAGTGGCTCTACGCTGGTATTAGCCAACAACTCAAAGAGTTTATGTAGTTATCTTTTATTTCAAATATAAAAAAAAAATAATATGATTATGACTGATTTTTATTAAAACTCAAATTTCTTCTGTTATTTATTCAGATAGATTAATGTCAGCAACTTTTAGTTTCACGATCAGGAAATGCTCTATCTCTATATACGTAAAAGTCAACGTATGTATTCATGTATGTACGAGGGCTGTGTTCGATAAGTAAGGTGAAGAATGAAAAAAGAAAAAAAAATGTTTTCGGAATATGAAATTTTTGTTTTTCAACACAGACAGCTAGCTCTACACACCTTGTTCAGCAATATTAGGATTTTTCATCCCCTTATAAAAGTATGATGTTTCGTGCTCCTCGAAATAACTATTTACATCATCGAAAACCTCTTTATTGGATAAAACCTTTCAGCCTCCCAGTAATTTATTTAGATTTGGAAAGAGAAGGAAGTCACACAGGGTCAAATCTGGGGATTAAGATGGAGGAGGGGCCAATTGGAAACCTTATTTGAACAATTTGGCAGCTGCTACATTCGACCTAGGGGCTGAGAATTATCGTGATGAAAAACCACATTTTTCCGAGCCAATCTCGGACCTTTAATACGGAATTCTTCCTTAAATCGATCCAGAAATGTTGCGTAATACTCCTCTGTTGTTTTTCCTTTTGAAGTAGTCAATTTGAATTATTTCTTGAGAATACCGGGTTTCCGGCTGACACAACAGTATTTGCCTTCTTCGAAGCCCTTTGACTCGGACCTGTCCACTGCTTTGAATGATGTTTAGACTCTGATGTAAAAGAGTCTCCAGGTCTCGTATACCGTCACAAAACGACCCCAGAAGTCCAAGGATTAGGATATTTAACGATAAACACTGCTGGGAAATGTCTGTCCGCAAGCGTTTTGGTCGATCGTAAGAAATCGCGGCACCCAGCTTATTTATCTGCAATTTTACATGAAGGATATGGTGTACCACCTCTCTAATGAGATTCCCGTGATCACAGCAATCTCAACTATCTTCACTCATCGAACTTCCATGATGATATAGTGGAT